AGGCTGAGGCAGGAGAATGGCTTGAACCCAGGAGGCGGAACTTGCAGTGAGCCAAGACTGTGCCACCGCACTCCAGTCTGGGCGACAGAGCAAGACTCCATCTCAAAAAAAAAAAAGAGTTCAAGATCAGCCTGGCCAACATGGTGAAACCTCGTCTACTAAAAATACAAAACTTAGCCGGGTGTTGATGGTGGATGCCTGTAATCCCAGCTACTCAGGAGGCTGAGGCAGGAGAATCGCTGGAACCCAGGAGGCAGAGTTTGCAGTGAGTCAAGACTTTGCCTCTGCACTACAGCCTGGGTAACAGAGCAAAAAACTCTGTCTTAAAAAAAAAAATTATCTGGGTGCTGTGGTTCACACCTGTAGTCCCAACTATTCTGGAGTGTGAGATGAGATCACATGGGCCCAGGAGGTCAAGGCTGTACTGCACCATTATCGCGCCTGTGACTAGCCACTGCATTCCAGCCTGGGCAACATAGTGAGAACTCATCTCTTAAAAAAAAAAAAAGAAAAGAAAGGGTAGGGGGCAGCTATCAGGTAGAAAAAATAGGTAAGAGACATGAATAGGCTACTCACAAAAGAAATACAAATGCCCAGAAAACAAAGGAGAAGAAATTCAGACATACTACTTATGAAATGCAGTTAAAGCAATAATGGGATTAATGTCTACTGTCTTGAATTTAAATACTTTTTTTTAAGTCTGAGTATGGTGGCTCACTCCTGTAATCCCAGCACTTTGGGAAGCCAAGGCAGGAGGATTGCTTGAGGCTAGGAGTTCAATACCAGTCTGGACAACATAGCGAGACCCATCTCTACAAACACATTAAAAATTAGCCAGGCGTGGTAACGCACACCTGTAGTCCCAGCTACTTGGGAGGCTGAGATGGGAGGATTGTTTGAGCCTAGGAGTTTGAGGCTGCGGTGAGTTATGATTGCACCATTGCACTCCAGCCTGGGCAACAAAGTGAGACTAATCTCATTTTTAAAAAAAAAGATTTTTTTTAAATGAATTAACAATGGGATATATTTTTTGGTACTTGATTGGCAAAGTTTGGAAAAATGGATCGCACACAGTATTAGGCAGGACATGGGAAAAACCAGACATTCTAATATGGTATTAATGAGTGTAAATGGATACAACGGTTTTAGAGGCCAGCAAATTAAAATTGAAAAGACTGATGTCTTTTGTACAGATGCATAAATGAATACAGCACTATTCATTAAAGCACCTTTATAATAGTGAAACATTAGAATGGCCTATCCAGCTGTAATAAAAGACTGGTTACATTCTAATAGCTACCGTTTCCTGAATACTGACTCTGGGTCAGATACCATACTTGTTTCTGCAAATCTGTTTGCATTCCTTAATCTTTACTCCAAGCCTGTGAGAGGCACAGAGTACTCCACTAAATGGCTGCAAAACAGAGGTTCAGAAAAATCCAGGCACTTGCCCAAAGTCTATTACTAGTAAGTGGCAGAGCCAGAAATTGAATTGACACCAATGACTATGCTGTCCTGTCCCCCATGAAATGGCATATTACAGAGCTATTTTACAAAGTGGGCTAAATCAACTCTTACTAACTTGGAAGGGTATCTGAGATATACTTTGTAGAAAAACAAGTTGCAAGAAGTATATTATCTGTTTGAAAAAAAAACTCAGTACATTTATTTATATATACATATATTTATATATTTATGTATACATGTTTATATCTTCTTAAAAGTCCAGAGAGATAATAAATTGTAATTATTTGTTATCTCTTTAAAAGGGATGGAATTACTGGATTCACTATTATATTACTTTTTCACTGAGCATGTATTTTAATAACACTTTTTAAAAATCACGTATACTTTCTAAGAAAAAGCAAAGTTTTTCACTTCATTTTGTCTGTTAGGTAATTCCAGTGAATTCTGCAGGCTCTCCTGTTGGGGATGTGCCATTCATCCGATCAGGATTGCTGGGGTTTGTAGGGCCGGTAAGTGATGCTCTCATGTTGATTTTGTTACATTTGATCCAGATATTTGGACTTTAATTCACAGAACAGAACAAATTCTGATTAGTCCAAGAGTGTTACAGAATCACTTCACTTACATTTAGAGCAGTTCTTGTAAGGATGTCGTAAAATGAGTTAGTGTTTATCATTTCCACTACCCAGATTCATTTGACTCCTTCAAACTAAGACACTTTTTATTTCCTTTTTTTCCCCACTGAGGTCAGAAGACATAATGAGACATTTTTTTATTTTCAGAACTCTTTTCACTTATTCTCACTATCTCTGTCTGATTTGATTAACATGTTGCAATAAGTTAGAGCGTGCTGAAAAAAGTTATCTTCAGTAGCAAAGACAAACTATAATACATAGTGTACAGAGCATCTTCATGTAAACGATTGGCACTATGTAATGTGTAATAGTAAATCCTTTGAGTGAAAAGAGTTTGGGCTGGGCATGGTGGCTCACGCCTGTAATCCCAGCAGTTTGGGAGGCCGAGGTGGGCGGATCACCTGAGGTCAGGAGTTTGAGACCAGGCTGGCCAACATGGCAAAACCCTGTCTCTACTAAAAATACAAAAATAAGCTGGGTGTGGTGGCGTGTGACTGTAATTCCAGCTACTTAGGAGGCTGAGGTAAGAAAATCGCTTGAACCCTGGGACGTGGAGATCACACCACTGTGCTCCAACCTGGGCAACAGAGCAAGACTTCATTTCAAACAACAAAAACAAACTTGATGAGCCTGAGGATGGCAGAGATCTAGGTCATGGAGGGGCTTTGCATGACATCATGGGAAGTAGGATTTTATTTTGTAAGTAATAGTCATTATTCCTAACTAAGCCCATATCCCTCCATTCATCTCTAATTACCTCCTACCCTCTCTTCTTTTCCACTTAACATCTTCAGTCATATAAGAGATCTAATTTTATTTTATTTCTTCGTTGCCATTTATGGAGGGGCAGGGTGGGTGAGGACATAGATCTAGGAGAATCACTCTTGACTTTTTCACTTAGCACCAGGAAATTCTCAGAGACCCACCTCCTTTTAGCTTACAGCTCCATGATTGAGGTCCAAGATGGAGCTCCAAGCCTCTCATCTGCATTCCAAGAAACAGGGAAAGGTGCAGTCCTCTTCTTTAAAGGAAGATTCCCTGAAGCTGCTGTGCAACACTTTCTCTTATTGGTCTGAACTAGTCCTACAGCCACACCTAGCTTCAAGGGAGATTGGAATGTAGTCTTTATTTTGGTCAACCATGCCCAGGTGAAAATTATCCTACTGTGAACAAAATGGAGAAATGGACATTGAAGGAATGGCAGCGACTGTCTCATTCTCTTACCAACACCATAGCTTTTCAGCCTCTGTTGGAAATGGCTGCTTTTTTCCTCACATACAGGTTGAACCAGTAGCTTGTTGAGGAGATGGGTTATGTCTTACACGGCCCAGTCACTGTGTAGGGTACATTGTGCTCAGTAAATCAGTGAGTGACATTCACATGGGGATAACTACTAGGTAGGTGAATATATGTAAATGGACTAAGAAATTTAGGAATTCTGTAATGAATGAGAAAAGTTAATTTGCTGCAAATGAGTCTGGGAAGATTATACAGTGATGCTTTTGGGGATTTGATAGTAGTTCCCTGCTGCTCTGTTTTCTTATTGGAAAAGAAAGGCACCTACTGCATTCCTTAGACCTTTCTTTATTAACCTAGTTCTAATCTTGCCAGATGGAAACAGCATTACCCTTACCAACCTGAAGCGGTCATTCTCCTATTTAAACTGTTTTAATCTCCTCCAAATTCCAATAGTAAATGAATACATTTTTCCTCCTCTGTATCCTCTGCATAGAAACATAAGCAAACTAACACATAAATCATGGCTGGGAAAATCAACTATGCTTGGGTGGAATCCTAGTTGTTTTCTTATAAAGTTCCTCCCTAAAATAAATATGAGTAAATTCCCTTCTTAGGTATCCTGTGAGAACTCATTGGCTCTAAGATGCCACTCTTTTCCCAGCTGATTTCAGAGATATCAGGGTGTGAAACGGTTTCTCTAGAATCCACAAAATATGGCAGTTGTCTTTTTAATACTTTTTAAATGAGATTTATTTAAAGGCGGGAAGTTAAAAGATGTCTGTTTCATTGTTTAAATCATGGAAATCAAGGCAAATCATCATTACCTTTCAGGGTAGTTTGGTGTTCGTGGTTGGGAAAATGGATGGCTTACTGATGGTTAGTGGTCGGAGACATAACGCTGATGACATTGTTGCTACTGGATTGGCTGTAGAGGCAATAAAGACTGTTTATAGAGGAAGGTGAGTAGTACAAAATTCAGATGTTAGCACCTTTTAATGGAATCTAAATAGATCTTCACATAGTGATTTCAGTTGTATTTTGTCGGTTCTCTTTCCAAGTGATCAGATTGTTTTTTTTAAGTATTGCATAAGCCTGGCTTTTTTTTTTTTTTTTTTTTTTCTTCTTCTTCTTCTTAGCCTGGCTTTTAATATATATTTCACAACATCTGGTTCTTCAGCTGTAACTAAGAGGATTAAGATGCAACTATATCCTCTACTTCAGATTTAAAGTATTACCATTTGTTGAATCCTGAGGACTGAGGAGAATTCTAAAACATTAACTTCCTACATTTCTTCAATGCAAAAGTAGTGCCATTCAGACTAATTGAGATAGATGCTACTCTTTAGGCATTTACATCTAAGAATTGTTTCTCTTGTTTCTGATTAAATTATATGATTTTAATGTGGGGATTGAGATAGTACATAATTTCAGATTCCATGGACAAAGTCAATTAGATATCTTTTTTCTTTGCTTATTAATGTAAGAAAAGATATTTGCTACATATTTGAGTGGTTGATGTCCTATTCAGCAGTTTGCAATCATGGATGTATCTCTTTAAGGCAAACTTGGTGTCCCTTTAAGAAGAAAAATTAATGAAACAGTTTCTGAAATGTATAGTTTTTTTGTAGTGGTGTGGCTTCCTATGAGATGTAAAGTCCATGGGGCGCTATACCTGCCTTTGGTCACAGTCATATCCCAGCAATCGGTAGTGCCGGACACCTGGTAGGTGTTGGGTGAATGTGTGTGGAAGGAACGAAGGAGGGTGTCAGGCAGGCATGCCGGCAGACTCTGCTCTCCGGTGCCTTCCCATTCTTTCATGCATTCATTCAACAAATATTCACTGGGTGCCAACACTGTGCCGCTGTCCTGGAGGCTCCGGCTGCGGCAGTGAACAAAACAGGCCAAGTCTCTGTCCTTGTGAAGCTCACATGCTTGTTGTGGGAAACAGACAGGAACCACATAAACAGGGCAATAGATAACGTGTGAGACAGTGACAAGTGCTGTGGAGAAAAACACATGGGGGTGGGGGTGGCCTGCCAGTTTCTATGAGGTGGCCTGAGAGTGCCTCACTAGTAAGGGGACATTTGAGCGGAGACCTCCCTCAGAACCAACTTCATCCTCTCTCCCATGGCCTCTCAGGTCCACTGTGATCTGCCCTGGCCTGGGTCTGACCTCTCTCCCTCCCGGTCTCTGCTTCACCACTTTGCTCCAGGCACACTGGCCTTCTTGCTGTTCCTCAAACCTGCCAAGCTCGTCCCTACCTCAGAACCTTTTCGCTTTCCGTTCCTTCTGCCCGGAAACCTCTTCCTCCAGATCTTCGCGTGGCTCGCGTCCTCACCTCATTCAGGTCTCTGCTCCAATGTCCGCTCCTCAGGGAGGCGCCCCCCAACCACCCTGCCCTCAGTAATACGCCACCCTACACACCACTCCACCCCTTGTATATTGCAACATGGCATTATTCTGTATTTATGTGTTTGTTCTGTCTCTAACACATAAGTGCCACAAAGACAAGAACATTGTCTTATTTACCACTATGTCCCAACATTCATGACAGTTGTGCTTAATACATATTATTTAAATGAATGAATGCTCATTTTGAGAGTAATGATTATGACATTTTCTTTTCTAAGCTACTCATTTCGGGTAGCATGGTGGGGTTGTCTCCTCTCTGTAATTCCAGTTAAACAAAGCAAATAGGACTGGTTGTGAAGGGAGTCCTGATGTGTTTGATCTGTCTCTCTTAGAATTGCTGTGTTTTCTGTGTCTGTATTTTATGATGAGCGCATTGTGGTGGTTGCGGAACAAAGACCTGATGCTTCCGAGGAAGATAGTTTCCAGTGGATGAGCCGCGTGCTGCAGGTGAGCACACCTTGGGGTCTGTGTCAGGTCAGCAGTGGCAGCAACCACTGCCTAAGCATTTCATTTTCTTCGATCAGCCAGTAATGCCACCTTATTTTTTCTTGCCAGTCATTGCTCACATATTCTGGGTACTATTAGCAAAATGAGATAATTAATACCATTTCTCCTTGTGGACTACATAGTATTTTTCTGCTCAGGTTGCCAAAAACAATGGAATTGACTTGCCTCAGCAAATTCTTTCATGCCTGAGTGTTTACTACTTGTGAAAGTTTTAACTGTCATATGTGGAACACATCTCTGGCAGTAATCAATCCACTTGTCAACAGTCAGCCACAGTTTTACTGTGTGTCATAAGTGGTGCCGACGGTGTGAGGGATCCAAGAAAATACAACTATTAGCCTTACTCTGAAGGAGCTTTCCTGTGGGGCTAGAGATGCTAGGTGAGATAAACCATGAGGGAAGGAGAATGCTTTGGGCTCAGTCTAAGCAATATGTCTGTGGTGGGGAGCAGGCTAGATTGATGACAAGAGCCTAGTCTTTGCTTAGAATCATAGACTTGGAATCCCAGCTCCATTTCTTACCAGGTATGTGCCCTTGGGCAAGTCATTTAACCTCACTGAGTTTGTTTCCTAACCTGCAAAGTGGGATAAAATTATCTGTTTTATAGAGCTATTTGGAAGGATTAAATGAGGTAATTAATTGAAGTATATAGTACCTGCACTCAGTAAATAATGATGGTGATTGTTATTATCCATCCCTACCAAAATTTTTTAAAAAATTATCCAGGCGGTGGCTCACGCCTGTCATCCCAGCACTTTGGGAGGCTGAGTTGGGTGGATCATGAGTTCAGGAGATCGAGACCATCCTGGCTAACACGGTGAAACCCACTCTCTACTAAAAATACAAAAAAAAAAAAAAATTAGCTGGGCATGGTGGCAGGCGCCTGTAGTCCCAGCTACTGGAGAGGCTGAGGCAGGAGAATGGCATGAACCCGGGAAGCGGAGCTTGCAGTGAGCCGAGATCACACCACTGCACTCCAGCCTGGGCGACAGAGCAAGACTCTGTCTCAAAAAAAAAAAGAAAAAAAAAAATTATCCAGGTGTAGTTGTGTACACCTGTGATCCCAGCTACTTGAAAGGCTGAGGTGGGAGGATCACTTGAGCCCAGTAGGTCAGCACTGCAGTGAGCTATGATCATGCCACTACAGTTCAGCCTGGGTGACAGAGGAAGACCCTGGCTCAAAATAATATAATAATAGGAATAATAATGATAGTAATAATGAGCCAGGTGCTGTGACAGGCACCAGTAGCCCCAGCTACTCAGAAAGCTGAGGTGGGAGGATCGCTTGAGCCCAGGAGGTGGAGGCTGTAGTGCACTATGGTTGCACCTGTGAATAGCTACTGTACTTCAACCTGTGCAACACAGCAGAAACCCATGTCTCGAAAAATAAAAAATTATAAGAATAGTCTCCAATTAGAGAGGGCTGCTTCCTCTCAATTAATATTCCCTTTCATTCTCTGTCCCTTCACTCTTCTTTATTTTTCTACTTAGCACTTAACATCTTGTATGTTTGTATGTATTGTTTTCTATATCCAGTATAATATAAGGCAAGATGAAGAATTTTTTGTCTCTCTTGTTCAGGGCTCAATCCCCAGAGCCCAATAGCCATGCTAGTAGACGTCGTAGTAGGCTCAGTAAATATTTGTTGGCTAAGTGGACGGTCCAAAGAAAGTGTGGCCTGTCCTTGCTATACTTAGGTATCAGTGGAAGTGTTCCTGAGGTCTGTAACTTCTCTACTTGGGGAACTTGAATTTATTAACTGCTAGTTAATAGCAATGTTGTAGAAACAATGAAAGCATGAGATGGTGGTATTGCTAGATTACCTTTTTTTTTTTTTTTTTGAGCCAGAGTTTCTCTCTCATTGCCCAGGGTAGAGTGCAATGGCACGGTCTTGACTCACTGCAACCTCCGCCTCCTGGGTTCAAGCGATTCTCCGGTCTCAGCCTCCTGAGTAGCTGGAATTACAGGCACCCACCACCATGCCCAGCTATTGTATTTTTAGTAGAGATGGGTTTTCACCATATTGGCCAGGCTGGTCTCAAACTCCTGACCTCAGGTGATCCACCCACCTCAAGCCTCCCAAGGTGCTGGGATTACAGGCGTGAGCCACCTCACCTGGCTGCTAGATGACTTTTAATATTTCTTTCTATCTCAGCATCTGTAATTCTGAATTATCAGCTGATATGGCATAGGCTCTTTGTAGTAGAAAATCAGAAAAGAAAATATACTGAAGATAGACTAGTCAGGAAAGACTATGAAGAAGGTACAATGGGGCAGATCTCTGAAAGATGGCTAAGGGGCAGATGTGCAAAGAGAATATTTTTCATACCAATCATATTTTCAGACAGAAACCTTATTTTGTTCAGAATGAACTTTGGGGCATATAATGGTAGAACCTTTGGTGAATTACACGTTTTCTTCTATTATAGAAAAGTGAGTATACCTGACATTTCCCAAGATATTTGTTACTTTTCCCTGGAAAGCAACTATAGGAATTAACTACAGTGCCAATTTACTAATCCAAACTCTTGTGAAAGTCATTTGGGTTCCGATTTGGGCATGAGATAACAGGCCATTCTTTTCGCAGTCTTTGTAACTTATCAGCTTGGAGCATTTGAGTCCATAGTAGAACAGTAAATGACACCATGTATTCTAATAGATTAAAGGCCAGAGGTGGTTGAATTCCAGGTCTGTGTGTAATATAAACTAAATACCTAACTCAGCACCTTCTAAGGAAAGGCAGTTAGTAGATGACTTATCAGATGTGTTTTTAATGAGGAATTCAGGCTACATGTAGCAC